CCAGACTTCCTGAAGTGGCACTTGTCAGTTGCATAGTGGGAAGCTTGGTTTTGCCAGAAACCTTTTAAATGAGTTTGCTGATGAGAGACCAAGCATATGCAGGCCATTGTTTCTTTTTTTCCTTAAATGTTAGTGATGTAATGCCTCCATGGAACAAGCTAAAGGGGTAATAGTCCTGGAAACTGCAGAGCTCTGCTCACTCAGAGGTATCCTAGAACTGCCAGTTCCAACCCAAGAAATTCCAGCAGGCAATATATTGTCTCTGAGCTCATTCCATTTTTGATCCTCTACCCAGAGGTGAGATTGTCATTAAAATAAGTTTTAGTTGTGCCAGTTGCAGACATGGGTTATGAAAGGGTAGCTAACTCATTGAATAATGGTTAGCGGCTAGCTTTTAGATGTTGGTGATGGTTACTTGTCTTCCAACTTGGCTACACTTGCTGTGGTGATTTAGAAATGAAAATATCCACATTTCACAACCAGATCAGCCAGCAGAGTCAACCAGGAAGCATACTTTTAATCTGTTCTGACAAAGATGCAGAGAACGGGCACCTAGTTATCTCTAAACATTCTGTGATACAGAATCCATGATGGCAGTCCTTCTCATGAAGGAGGCATTCATCGCTGAAGCATGAGGACATCCTCCTACAAACAGTTATTTATAAAACAGGACCTGCACAATGTAGATCAGTGCGTTCCAGAGAAGGAAGTGTAACTGTTGAATACATTTCACAGTTCTACACTGAGCACACCAAATCATTTAATGGTGTTTTCTTTAACTGAAGAGGCAGACCAAATTAGATGCACATCAGTGTGAGAGATGATCAGTGAAAAGTTGGCGTGCTCTTTTAACTTTCAAAAAGTCTTTGGTTAAAGACAAAAATGTTCCCTTTTGGTCATTTAAAACTCACGTTTGTATTTGCAAATCTGTGTATTCCCTGTACAGAGTTTATGTAAAAACATTTATCCAAATACAAATATAGTAGAGAACATAGAAAGTTATTTTTGTTACCAGGGCTTAATTAAAATAAATTTTGTTGTATTTAGTTGTATTTATGGCTGCTAGCAACTTTTTAAAAACTAATATGTATAGTTTGGCAGACCTCTTTGGTCCCTTTAAGCATTTGCAGTTTACTCTTTTCACTGATCATCCTGAAATGTCTTTGCACCTTGTTTTATTGCTGCTATAGAGGGTTCAACAATAACAGATTCTGAGCAAGTCAATTTATATTCTGAGGGGGAGGCTAAGTCAGTTGCAACTGCTAACATCCTTTACTGCAGAAACAAATATTTTTATTTTATTTTGGCCTTTTGTCTCCTTTACAATGATCATCTTAGTGGGACTCCATTTATTGTCAAGAACAGTGTGATTCAAAATTTTAAACCATCAGAATCTATAGGAATTTTTCAGTGTTTATTTTACAGCATTAATTACTAAGGTGTTTGATAGAGATTTTTTTCCCTAATTAACTGAAGTTTATTTCATAAAAAGAAAACTATGAAGATTTTCTAAGCAAAGGCCCCAGCATAACCAGTATCCCAGAAACATTAATTGTTGCTCAGAGAGAAATTGCTGTAGAGAGACATGTGTTTTTATAGCTGCTTTTAAATGAAGACAAGTAAAAAGCTCTTACCTTTTGAATTCTCAGCTATATGTACTGTAATGTGAATTCCACCTATCAATACCCCGATGATTGATTGTGTGTGCGCGTGTTTTTTTTATTAATTGAATAGTATATTAGTGGTGTCCTTTATCCTCTTGAATATTCAGAACAGGCTGGTTGGTGCAGCCCAAAATAAAAAGCAATAAACCAGATTAAAAAATCCCAGAAGTAACCTTAACTCAACCTCCCTAAACTGAATAACACAACTCAACCCCTGGAAGACCCCTCAAACTGGAAAAAACATTTCTTTGTCACTTGTAATTAAGAAAAATAAGTGAAAGCAGACTTCAAGGGCAGTCCCAAAGTGCCTTCTAAGATATTTGAATTTAGGTGCATTGACTTATTATGAGAGACACAAGAAAAGAAAAATTAAAGTACCACCTTTCTTTAAATAGTGCTCATGTACCATGTATTCTCCCATGATTAGTAGCATACGGGTTCTAGAAACTTCCCATGTAACAGGGGTCCCATCCTAGTTTTACATTATGTAGGAAAATATGACCATATTAGTGGAAACTTTTATAAAGCCAGGAGAAGGAGCTAGTGGCCACATTCCTTTTTCAACATATTTGCTCTTTTTTGAAGTGCCAGCTGTATACTGTTTGACTCATTCCCTTTCAGCTTGCATATGGGCTGTATCGTTGAGATATTTAGGACTAGAACAAAAGGATTTCTTTCCCTCCAGTGACACAGACTTAGATGATAATGTAGGAAAGTGCCTCAACAAAGGATTGGTTTACAAAGGACTGGCTCAAGTCGCATATTTTGAAAGCATCATAGATTAGAGCCAGGACACATGCTTGGATACTGTACCCAAGCCTGCTTCAGCTGTCAAAGAGAGAAAGCTGAATGCCTTGCTATAGCAACTGGGCCTTGGAGGAGATTTGGAGTCTTCTGAAGTGAAGCTCCATCTGTTCGTTTGTCTTTTTGCATATCTGTCCTCTTCAGCTTCTTTCGGGTGATACCTTTTCAAACCTGGGATCTCCTGCTGCTGTCACACTGGAAGTGACGTGTTTTATTAGGCATGCATCTGTCCTTGCCATTATGTCTTATTACATTTGATAAGGAATGAAGTGCAAAGGAGCAATTGCTATTGAATGCCATCACCCAACTGCCCTCGCTCCTTCAGGAAGTTATATACCACTTACCTCTCACTTGCCAAACTAACTCAAGGTTCAATACTTCTACCATCTTATACTTCTGTACAGTTCACTGTTCCAGGAAACCAAGCACTTACTAAGACGCAAATTCTATTTTTCATTTTTACAGACAGACAGAGTAAGACTAAGTCAGGTATTTCAAAAGACAACCAGAGTCCGGCTGGCAGAAAAGGAAGAGATGGGAAAGGTGGAGGAGAAAAAAGAGGGGAGAGAGATGGATCAAAGATGAAAGACAGAAGAGAAGGCGGAGAGAGGAAAGGTGGAAGAAAGGGAAGAGAAAGGAAAGGCGTAATAGAGGTCTACAAGAAGGGTGACAGGAAACCAAGACTGGGTCAAGCGCATGAAGCGGCCAGTGCCTGGCCAGATCTACCTTATACTGGGAATTATAGTTACAATTAATCCTACTTGAGAAAAACAAAACAAAAGAAAAAGTGCATTGAGTAATTTGAGCTTGCATTACCTGCCTTTATCAGTAGTAGGACACTAATAATACAATTATGATAAGATAACTTAGATAACTGTCTGCATGTTCTAAGAGTCTTCTCTGGTTTTATTTACATACTTATATTTGGCTCCTTCTCCAGCCAGGCATATAAATATACAACTGCAGGCTCAACATGAGTAACATTCATGGTCAGAGTTTGTAAAGATATTCATGCCCCTGGAATGGCCTGACTATATTTCACACAGACTAGGACAATTGCTCTTTGTCTAGCCTTCATTTCCACTTAATGTTAAATGGTTACTTGGTTAAAAAGTTACACTACTTTACACTGATGTTGTTAATTGATTAACCAAACCTTTGAAAGATGACTTATTCTTAAAAATATTTTTAATTGAAACCACTGACGGGGACACACACACATCCATGTCCAGAGAAGGAGAAGTTGATGTCCTGAATCAAAGAACATCTCAAATGTTCTCACCTGCTACATTTTATTCAGTACTGCTGAAGTACAGGACAGTCCTTTTTTATGGAAGTTGCTGAGGAAATGCATCTTGAAAGAAGGTAAGGTATAAGGTTCAGTCCCCACCTTACTTAAGTCAGTGGGAGTTTTGCTGTTGAGTTTAATGAGAGCAAGATTCAGTGATAATTGCAGATGGTGGCCAACCCTTGTTTGTGAGCGGGAATCAGGCCATTACTCTTCAATGTGCCTTTATGTGGTGCTGTGTACAGGCCGCTTCTGTTGCATCCAATGTGTGGAGGTCCAGGTGCTCAGCAATTCTGAAAAGCATATCCTGCCTGTTTTAGGTGCTGAACTAAATTTGTGCTGTTTACAAATGTTTTAAAATAGCTTTCCTCTCTTTATTACAAAAGACACACAGATACACACACAGTTACTAGGCAGTTATTATAAATAGGATATTGAAAGGAAATTACTACTTTGTATATGATCACCCATATTTATAGCTATGCATCTGTGTAGAACAGTGTGTGTAGGGTCGGAATAGCTCTAACTGCAGAACTGATACTTATTAAATAAAGAAATAAACTTTGCAGAAAGATTGTGCTCGTTGCTCTCAGTCTTGTGCATTTCTGTGGATACCTGGTTAAAAAACTGTGGCATTAACTCAGTTTCTTTTCTCTTTACATGTAACATGTACAGCTGTGTTCACTCATTTCTGGAAATGAATATTGTGTGTGGATAGGAACACAAGGTCTAGTTCAACTTCATTTTATTTTATGGGAGACTGTCTTCCTGAGATAAATAATCCGTACTCAGTCTAGTGGGATGGAATGCTCTCTTGCTTTGAGTTCACTTTGTAAGAAGGGGGAAGAATGTAGTAGTGAATTATTAACACTATACTTTGCATTCTAAACTGTTAATCTGTGGTTGTGACCCTATTTAATCTAGGCGCCTTTCCTGTAGGAAGTTCTTGACACTGTTACATCCCAACATCTCAAGACTCTTCCTCTCTCTCTAACCCTTGCAAAATATTTTTTAGCATGTTTGCTTTTATGCATGTTGTGTGTCGAAGTAACTCTTAGAGGTGTTCCTGTACATCATACTGGACTGATTGTGTGGCAAGCTCACCTTCCCAATGTCCGTACCATACTGTTAACCCAGTGAGCAAACCACAGGCTTCAGTCTCTACAGCCATCAGATATCTGACATCTAGACAGTTTAAAAAATGCAGAAGAAATAAAACTCACCTATAAGAGGTGGCACCAATATCAATTTAAGTCTCCAGCCTTTTTATTTATACAAGGATTCAAAGAACATATTTCAACTTTAGATAAACAGTGCAAGATAGTTACAAGTACCTTGGTAACAGAAAGAAATATATAACTGGCCAGCTATGCCAATAAGTGAAATAAATCTTATGCCTGCAGAAATGCATTTTTAAAGCAAAGGTGTCCTTTAGATATTTTTGTTGTACCTTATCCCTTAACCAAGCCCACCAAAAAACAATAGGTTGTTTGTCATTTGTAAATGATAAATATCTGTATTCTTGAAGCCTTTAATCCCTCCTCAGTTCAAACATACAAATTATGGCACAAAAGAGCAGGCTTAAAGACAGAGACAACTGCAAATCTATCACGCCATTTTTCTGGTTCTCCAATTTGCTGGGACATGGGTGCTCATCTGTAACTCATGTTCTTTCCTGAATTACTGAATACCATCACATCCCTTAAGGAATAAGGATTTATTTTTTATCCAAACACCAAGCAGTGCTATCTTGATACCAGAGAAGCAAATCTTCTTTCCCCTGCACTCCCCCAATCTCTCTTCAAAAGCGACAAATCCAAAGCAAGTCCTACTCCTTCGATACAGGATGCAGCACTTAACAAGAGATTTCCACAGGGCCAGGGACTGTCTGTGAATTACAGATCTCAAGCAGGCTGACAGCAAACTTGCACTGCATAGGAGAGGAAAGGACGCAGAGATAGATTTTCCCTTTAAGTTTCTTTTCTGTTGTGGATAGCAGTAGCTGACTAAGACATTTCTAAAACAAGGCTGAACGTGGAACACATTCCTGCATCATTTTAAAATCTCCTCTTTCTAAAGAGCATACAGAATTTGGCTGCATTTTTTTTTGCATGTAGCCTTTTCCATGCTTCAGAACCTCACTGAGGAATTTACATAATGAGGTGTGTTCAAATGCAGACTTGGTGCGGGGGAGCGGGGAGAGGCTAAAAATCACTGCACTAGACCAGTAAAGCAATATGTATTGTGCCATAGTTCTACTAGCAAATACATTCATTTTAAATATATGACTTGTAGGAAGCTGCTCTATAGATTTTGATGGGTTTAGTAGCATCATTTTTCTTTAATCGACATTCAATGCCAGGGAGGCTCACCTTCCTTTTAGATTTAACCTCCCTACCAAATCAGATCAAGTTCAGCTTTAAGAAATGATGGGACTAACGGGAATACAACAAAGGAATGAAATAAGAGTTACAACTGGCTGTGCAAAGGCAGGTACAGTTTGGAACAATGAGGCACGCCAAACTGGACCAAGACTGCCTAGGTTTGAGGATGCATCAACACAAGTCTCAGGCCTTGCCCCCAGCTGGGTTGGGTATTGCTGGAAATTGTCCAATGACATGTACGAAGTCTGCATGGACAAGGGGAATGATGACTCTCCTCCATTTGCTTTCTTGCAGCATCCCTCCCCCCAGTCCCGTCTCCAACGCTGGATTCTCACGTTCATTGCACATTCCATAAACTGACTGCACAAGTCAAATTCTGCTTTTTCACCAAATCTTAAATATGAACACACATTCCCTCCCCCCGCACCCTCCCTATGACAGACAGAGAAGTGCCTGAAAGTCTGCTAAACCTACGTATGCTTAAACACAAGAAATGTTTTTTCTCCCCCAGAAATAAAAAACACAAAAGTAGACAAAAGTAAGAGCAGAGCCCAAACATAGGGTTCACTATTTCCCAAGAGTCACTAGGACTGCAGTGTTTCTAGAAAAAAAACCCACCTTTGCTAGGAATATGTCTCCAGAGGATGCTTACTATATCTGTGAATCAAACAAGCTTGCTAGGGAACCCAAAACACACAGCTCTACAAACACAGACACCCCTACGGACATGTATGTATATTGCTACATCATTTGTTGACAAAAACCAACCCATTTGTTGAATCCACTTCTGGCAATCAAATTCTAGGCTACAGAAAAGTACTGGCTAAGAGGAGGCTGTGCTGTTTGGAAGCTCTAGAAGCAAGCCTGGTTGATCCACTCACTCAGTGTGTGGCTGCAGGTAAGTCACTTGGACTGCTTGCTTTCTATCGTGAGCAATGCAGTGGGACAGTTGTTGGGACAAAAGCAGGAATTTACTTAAAAGAACAGATTCACCTGGGCAACCGAACTGCCCAAGGGTGAATACATAATAACCCACCAGCCTCCAATTCTTATAACTCAGTTGCTTTGGGTGCCACTACAATATGTGAGACTTCACAAAACAGCTCTTTCCAACGATCCCTTTGGTAAAAGGTCACTGTTGTCTTTGTAAATAAAGAAAAGGATTCAGCCTCTTTGCTGTGGAAACGCCTCTTCAAATGATGAACGTCACCATGCATACTTTCATCTCAGTGTTGCACAGAATGGTATCGTGTTGCAGTTATAGATTAGGCTATTGACGGCTTTCCAGGTACCATGCAAAATTCAAAGCTCACTCCCATTTACTTTAATGTAGGAGAACTGGTATTTCACTATTATGAGATGTAATAAAGAAAACTACTGTTGTACTTGTAAGGAATGGGACTTTTGCCTCCTGCTTTCAAATGGCTAGGTATTGAGTCTCCTTGCTACATGAAGAATTAGTCAAAACTCCTACATCAAAAGGAAGTGAGTGAAGGATTCTCTCTGCCTCCTTATGAAATACATGGGAAAACCATGGCAGCCACCGAACAGAGCACTTTGAGTGCTGAGAGTGTCTTTTAGGTAAAAAGTCACACTATTCTAAACCTCTGTTGTGTTTTAGGTGTTAACATGGTAAGTAGCATTCTCGGCTAGAGCTGTATAACAATAATGGGTAAATTGCATATGTCACTGCAGTCTATCACCTGGCGTCCCTTTGAGGATTACCCTTCCTTTTCCCCAGTCTGTCTTTCTCCAAAGGCTTGTTTCAGGCCCCAGAGAACCTATTAATGGCAAATAATGAAATTAAAAAAATGAGGTATGGAAAGAAGGGCCCAGCATTCAGAAAAGACCAATAAAGAAAAAAACGGCTCTAGCACTGCCAGATATCACAAACAATCGAGACCTTTTTTCTCCCTCTTTTTTTTTTGCCAAGATGAATTAAATATTGTCCATTCTTTCTTTCTTTTTTTTGTTTTGGCAAAGTTAAGACCTCAGCCACAGTCTCTTTCATGGCTGTGCAAGTAAGTTACCGCCATAAGTACTGCATTGCCATGACAGCCATAGAAAGGAAGATTAGGAAGGAGGAAGGCAAAGATTTGCTGCTGGCCCCATTTACACCCCGTCCAGACTGGTTAGGAATTGCATGTGTTCCTGGTTGTCTGGTGCTGGAGCTCTTAGAAAGTCTTTTACCGCAGACTTCATCAGGACAGCCGTCACCGCTCCCAGAGCCACTCATGTCATCACCTACGCAGAGGAAAACACAGGGTGAGGTTGGCAACTGCTCAGTGTGGAAAATGCCTTCAGGTCAAGATAGCCCCTGGTTCCAGGAGCTAATATCTCAACCAGGCCAGTGCAGAGATGATGGGATGCCTCAGGCATCTGAGAGGAATGAACAACACTGAGCCCCTCTTTTTCTCTGCAGTCCCATGAATGGTCTATTTGCGCATCAGTATGTGCGTGCATGTACACATACACAGAGGATACGTGCACTTGAAAGAACCTGGCATGGTAGTGAAGCTGGTGGGTGAACCAGCTGCTGTTCATGAGTTTATGTAACTGCCATCTACATGGCAGAGGCACCAATGAATCATTTAGATTCCCCCTCAAACAAGCACTGGTAACAAACTACATTGCACTCTGGGTAGAAAAAAGACACTGACAAACTCAAGTATCAGCTGTGGTGGGACGTGTTCTGTCCCAGGGTATCTACTTTACTGGGTGAAACACAGATTGCTATTGTCCCACATCCCTTGCCTGGGGATTCCCTGCAGCCCCTGCTGCCCCACCACTCCTTGCCAGGACCCACGCAGGGTCAAGTGCTGACCTGTGCCTCACGTGGAGACATGAGTCAGCGCAGGTCCCAGCACGGGGTGGCATGGAGGTGCAGGGTGGCATGGGAAGCCAGCAAATCCCTGGCATCCCATGCCTCCATGCCAGGACCCATGCTGGCTCATGCTTCCCCCATGAAACATGGGTCCGTGCAGGACTCAGTATGGGTCTCAGCACGGAGGCACAGGGCACTAGGAATTGCCTAGCTCCTGCACCACCCCACACCTCCTTTCTGGGACTCACGCTGACTTGTTTCACAAGGAAACAGATTGGTATGGAGTGGCATGGGAGTCCCTTGTGCCCCATGCCTCCACATAGGACTTCCCTATGCTGCCCCCTGCCCCTTCATGAAGCACAGGTTGGTGGTTTTCCCACTTACACAGATGCATCAATGGGTACCCCAGGGGCATGTCTAGGTGAGCAGGAAAGCTGCGCAGGTGCTCCAAGGGCCTGAGGGGCCTGATTCTGCCCTAAGAATTCCTGGGGTGCACAGGATCAGGCCCCTCAAGCCCACCAGGGAGGATGGCTGGAGATCAATGGCAGCTCTGGGCTGACAGCACTCTCCCACCATAAGTAAATAGACATTCACTATAGTTAAGTAGCACAAATTCTCACTACCATCTGTTGTGGCCACTTGGGCATTTGTGGCACAACAAAAAAGTGTGGACATCTGTTTTCTTTCACTTTGTGCTGCCATAAAAATTCTTACGGTGGCACAAAGGCAATGTCTATTTCCACTCTCTGAAGTGCAGAGGGGATCAGCGTAGGGGCTTCTGCACAAGGGCTGGGCTCACAGCAGCCGGCACCAGTCAGGACATGGGCAGCTGCTGCCTGCTGGGGGAGGGGAGGGGAAGTAGTAAGTGGGACTCTGAGCAGTGTAGAGTTCACCTACTCAGGCTTGTACGTGACAATGGTGGGTTACCTCTCACTCAGATTACTGGAGTACCTTCTAGGATATGACAACATAAAAAACTGGGACAGAATCGGTTTGCTTAGGGTTTTGAAATGTATGTCCTGCTTTGAGAGAGTGATGATGGTCCAACAGGCGCTCCAAACAGGATCCTGGAATTGATGAGCCATTTAAAACAGTGAAAGAAGGAAAGCCCAGTCTAATTCAAATCCTAATTTCCACTAAGAGCCCATATGTGCACCAGGCAGCTTGCCATTGTTTCTTTTTAATGAAATGTCTGGTGCAATATTAATGATTTATGTACAGAAGAATCTTCATGTTTGGAACGGCACAAGAAAACATTAAAAGGGCAGAGTTTCTCTTGAGACTCTCCCTCCTGTAGAAAAATTTTGAAGATGAATTTAAAAGGAACCACAAGCTTTAGAAAAGTCTGTACATTACCCTACACAGCATGGCAGATTGGCTCATGTTGAGCTCTGAGCCACTGCGGCTAGACTATTATCAGCACCCAAGCTAAATAGCTTAAGTTATCTGGCTATCTACTCCACTAGTCCCCTCTGCGAGTTCAGTGGAGACAGGCCCTGTTTCTGTTTCTAAATAGCTTTATCCCTACTTTCTTCATGCAAATGACATGCCGAAGGCTTTTTAAGAAGCAGGTTCAAAAAGTCTGAGAGCAAAACACTTTTCTCTGGGGAGGATTGTTAATTGGCTGAGATGAACAGCATGGCTTTGGGTTACATTGCAATAATAGCACATGCGGTTTTCATGGACAATTCAGCTAATTGTTATGGCATCTGCAAACAGTCTTTAATGCAATAGGATGGAAAGGTATGCTCCTGGGATTTGTTCATTTAAAAGGACGTGTCCAGAAAAATGTTGGTTCCCTTGCATTTTGGGATGTAAGAGAATTCAAAATTCAGAACTGCCTATGTGACTGGGCAGCACCAGGCAGCAGGAAAAAATTCTTCATGGGTGCTAAAGCTTACATGAAACACTGAGTTTGAATATGGCCACAACCATTTCAGCCTTATCCCTTAGTTGATTTTGCCTTAATAGAGCAGTAGGCTCTACATGTTTGACAAAACAAAAAAGAGGTAGCAAGGAGGCAATGCTCATTAGCTGAGATGCAAAATCAAAGGCTTTCCATTCCACAGTGGCAGGTCTGGTGAAAGCCAAATAAGACATTGTCTTTCTCTGGGTAAGAGGAATAGTTCTGTGGAAGGTGAGGGTAAGATGTTGCTAACCATCATCAATGCAGTGCTGTCAGTAATGCACTGTACTCTGCTGTTCTAATGTTGTTTTGGATGCTGGGATTTAAACATGCACATTCCTTCCCATAACAGGGACCAACAGGCTTTATGGAATCAGGCCTTATACATTCTTTAAGGCAAGGCTTGCATCATACCTAGTATGCGGAAAGTGCTAATCCATTTTGGATGGTACTGAAATGATGCAATAAAACAGAGAATAAGCCACAAAGTTATTACAGAAAAATGTGTAAAAACTTTGTGGCTGGTTCCCACTGCACCATAAATTGAACATGTGACCAGCACTGATCCCAACCCAGGGTACAAAACAGAGCCTTGAAGGGCTTGGATAGACTCCTGTGGCTGGGAGTGCCAATCAGCTGATCAGGGCTGCCAGCCACAGGAGCACATGAAGCCCTTAGCTCTGATGCACTCCCATGGCCTGGAGTGCCCATCAGCTGACTGGTGTTCCCAGCCATGGGAGCACCAAGCAACCTACTTGCTACTTGTTGGTGTGGGGCAGCTGGAGATAATGATCCTGGGCTTCTCCTGCACTGGCAATATGGCAATGTGGTCTACACTGGCAATATGGTCTGATTCCTGATCCCACAATCTTACCTCCTGCCCTGCATGTGTGGCATGGCAGGAGGTGTGATTGTTGGGATCGTGGATCAGATCCCATCACGCCCTTGATTAAATGTTAGTGGCCTCAGATATTGCTTATCATTTCTAGTCTGCCTGCACCTCTGTGCTCATTCCTTGGGGTTTCTGGCATACTCACTTGCATCCTGGAAATCCACATCATTCCCGTTGTATGCATTGCGCAGGCGGTTGGTCATGATCTTTAACTGCATGATTTGCTGACGGATGGTCATATCTGGTTTGGTGATGTCCACCTCCACCTCTGGATTATTAATCTGATTGGCCAAACCATCTCCCATCACCTCTGGTAGATACCTAAAAAGGGAACCAGTGTGTTGATAGTTCTTTCCCAGAGCAGACTGTTCACTTTCTGGCATTATGGATGCTATAACAAAAAACAATTTACTGTCCCTAGGATGCTGATACCAACAATTTCTCTGTGGTACCTACTTGCACTCTTAACACTGCCTCCTCACATTGCTGGGTTGCTTGTGTTTCTACTTAAGCTCCTATACAAGGCACCTTCTCATTTCCCACCTGTTTAGTTGCAGAGATGTCTTGGGCACTAAAAGTAATGCGGGGCCTCTGCTCAGTGAACACAACTAGATTCCAGGGTACTACACCAAGCACTGAGCAAAACTGGGTTGCAGCTCTACACCAGGCAGCAGGTAGAGCAGG